AGAAAAACTCAAACTTAATCGAGAGCAGACAGATATGCTCCTGGTCAATTGAAAGGCAGATAAGGGAACAAAGACTCCTCCTGTGCTGGGTTGTGTTATACTCCCCCTAAAATTTCAGGCTTGCAACTTGGTTATTCTTCTGGACTCAGCTCTGTGACTGGATGCCCAGGTTTCAGCAGTGGCCTGGAGTATGCCTGCACAGTTAAAACTAGTATTTCCTCTTCCTTGAGATGTGTTACTGAAAGTGCATTTTTCTGAATTTTGGTGTATATGAATTCCACATGGCCCCAGATGTACTCTGCAGCAGACTCTATGTGCCTCCAGATAGGTCATGCCCAGGTCACTTGGAAGGCTGAAAAATCCCCAAACCCCAGAGCCAGGCAGGTAGGTGGGAGTTGCAAATGAACTATCATCACCTCCATAATCAGAACAATGGGTGATAATGGCTGAGATGTCTCACCTGATGAGCCGGCCAAACACCTTAATCCACTCCCATTTCCCTTGAATATTGCCAGATCAGATTATCTCACCTAGGCAATCTAACGCCTTTGTCTAAACTATAACCAAACAATCAAACCTCTTTGTTTATGCTTTAGCCGAGCATTCAAGCACCTCACCAGGGGCCAGTTTCAGTCCTTAAAAACCCCTGGATTTCTTTTCTCAGTGTCGCTAGTCTGAGTTCAGGGGCACCCTGCGTCACTCTGTTCTCTGAACTGGTTACCGGCACCTCCATTTAACCCACACTCTCGAAACGGTTGTGTCTCACACCACTTCACCCAATTGGATCTCGGTGAAGGCTTCATTGGTAATAAGTATTGTTGTAGTGCTGCCTCAGCATTTATTCCAGCCTAATCCCTGATTTCCCAAGCCCTGCATGAGTGTGTGTGTGTGTGTATTGTTGTGTGATTGTCCCATTTTTCAATAAATAATACTTTAATTTGAGGATACTACCTCTGCATCAATTCTTAAGATCCTCCATCTCTAGATATACATGTGGGAAACGGTCTTGCAGTGTCCTTGTAGCCGACCCCCTCTCTATTTGAACTAACTAAAATTCTGCTTCATAGACTTTTGGCTACAAATGTCAGATTTGGGAATGGCAACACGTCTTGATTTTATCTCATTTGGACCACTGTAATACATTTTATATGCGGTTGGCTTAGAAAAGTGTTCAGAAATTTCAGCGGGTCCAAAATGTTGTAGGGCCACTTATGGAGTGTGTGTAACTTCCTTGCTAAAACAGCTTCAAAGTGCTAGTCATGACTTTTAAAGCCCTCGTCCAGCAGAACTGTTTAGGGTTGTAAGGGAACTGTCACAGGCTCCACCTGTGCAGAACCCTTTATTTAACCCAACAACAGCATGCTGTGACACTTTTAACATCTATTTCGCAGATAAAATATCTCAGAAAAGAGCCAATTTAGATGCCAGGATTACAACAGAAGTGACTGAGGTGTCCAGTAAACCCGTTTATGAGATTAAACTGGATCATTTTGAGTTAGTTAGTGCCGATGACGTGGACAAGATCCTTGGGAAAGTAAGGAAGATGACATGGTCTCCCGATCCCTGCCCGTCTTGGCTGGTCATCCAGGGGGGGTGATGCATTGATGGCCTTCCTTAAAGAGATCATCAATGCATCCCTTAGGGAGGGAGTTGTTCTATCAAGTCTAAAGGAGGCGGCCATTAGACCACCCTGAAGGAACTTTCCCTGGACCCCCTGGACATGAAAAACTACAGACCACTCTCACATTTACCATTCTTGAGCAAGGTGATCGAGAGAGCTGTCACCTTCCAACTCCAAGCGATCTTGGATGAAACTGATTTTCTAGATCCATTTCAAACCGACTTCAGGCCCGGATATGGGGTGGAGATGTCCATGGTCGCTCTGGTAGATGACCTTCGCCTGAGCATCGACAGGGGTAGCGTGACCCAGTTGGTGCTTTTCGACCTCTCAGCGGCCTTTGATACCATAGACCACAACATCCTTTTGGAGCACCTGAGATAATTGGGAGTGGAAGGCACTGTTCTTCAGTGGTTCTGCTCCTTTCTCTCATGCAGGTTTCAGAGGATGGTACTCGGGGACAGCTGCTCATCAAAAACAGAGCTAAAATATGGCATTCCTCAGGAAGCCATTCTGTCCCTGATGTTATTCAATATTTATATGAAACCGCTGGGAGAGATCGTCAGGAGATATGGAGCAGGATGCTACCAATATACTGATGACATGAAATATTCTGCTCCATGTCTCGGTCAACTGCTATGATGGCAGATGGTG